AGTTGATATTATTTTGAAGAGAAATGGTATAAAATAGGACCGTAACTTTAGTTATATACCCGAATAGGACCGCCCACTTTTTAATACTTAAATAGGACTTCTTTTTTACTAAATACCAAGTTTGCCCCTGATTTAATTGAAGCTATACTCTTCCCTGTCACGCGATATGCATACTCTTCCGGTCACTGTAGCGATAATCTTCTTTTTCAAATCTGTTGGCGAGCCGCGAGCCGTAGATGAGGCACAACGGAGAAGAGACAAGTAAGACAACGGCGACGGGGCAGCGGTGGCATGGTGAGGCGGCTGCACAGTGACGCGGCGGCGGCGGCACATCGACGTGGCGGCGGCGGCGGCGGCGGCACATCAACGTGGCAGCAACAGATGCGGAAAAATTAAATCCCTGGTAATTCTCCTCCGGCCTCCTTATTCTTCCTTCTTCTTTTCTGTTGCGTCTTGCTTCTCATTGAACTACGGCTCTCTTGTGCCAATCGACTGTGAAGTTGGCAGATCTAATCGATGACCTTCCTCATTTTGCTTTCTTCTATATTCTTTTCTTTCCGAACTGCGGTCTCTTTGTTTTTTTGTTCTATTGACTTTTGGTGAGAGAATTAATTTAATAAAATTAAATTAAGATGCTGTAAGACTGTAAGTATGTTACGTAGTAGCATGTGTCAATTTGTTTGTAATTTTTTTCAAGAAATGGGATTTTGGACATTACGTGTTGACAATGCATGTGATGCTATATTTTATAGCATAACAACAGTGTAACATTACTGATTTTTGAGAATGCTTCTAATGGTAATGTTACTCATTGTGAATTTTACTTGACATTGTGATGTTTATCTTGAAATTGTGTCATTTTGTTTTTTCACATTTTAGCATCTATTCTTTATTTCACAATGTTTACAATACCATCACATTGTTTTAACAATATCATTTTTTATTGCATTGACATTTTCATTAACATCTTTGTTTACAATGTCATTTTTATTGCATTGATATTGACAATGTTATTATTTGACATTGTAACATTTTTTTGACATTGTGCTAGTTGCGTCGGCAAGTTCTGGTAGTGATTTGATCTACAACATCGGAAAGTAGTTTGACACTTGGTGATCAAGAAGGGTGAGATGGGCGGAGTATGTGGCGGCACGTGGAGGAAAGTGTATGGGAAATCGGTGACAATGGTGGTGGTCGCTGAAATTTTGATAGTGATTAAGGTCGGACGCTGGAGTTTGGACGGTTCAAGTTTGGATTTTGTTGTTTTTCAGTGTAACTTATAGGTGTTTTTTAATTTTTCATAGTTAGTAAATCATTTTTTTGTTTATCATCTTTTATTAGTAATTTTAGCAGAATTCTTTCTTTTATAATCATTGTTATTGAAATTCTATGACATTGGTTTCGGAACAATGATATTTTGCTACATCGATAGTGATGTACCTTTATAACATTGTCATGACATTAATTATAAACAATGACATTAATTACTCGCGTTGTCATATAGTGATATTGATTTTTAAACAATGCAGTTGACTTTTTAACAACTACTTTAAATTTTAAACAATGACATTATATTACATTGTCATACAATGTCATTGGTTTCTAAATGATGACGCTATATATAAAACCGTAACATTATATTACATTATCATATAATGTCATATAATACAATTTTAAACAATGACATTACTTCACATTGTCATATAAGAAACATGTTTTTTATACAATGACATCATACTAGAATGTCATTTAATAACATTGATGTTTAAACAATGTCATCATACTCCATGTCATTTATTGACATTTCTAGTGTCATTATATGATGTCAGTTTATTAGTTAGTAATATTAAATTACATTGTTAATTTATTTAATGACATGATAATGTCATAATTTTATAAAAGCATAGTGATTATAAGATATCTCAATTACAATGTCATTGTCATTGTTACGCCGTTGACATTGCTATGTCATTATCCTTGATATTTAACTTTTGACAATGTAATTTTAAAAAACTTAGTGATAATGTCATTGTGTATAGTCCATTTCAATCACAATGTCAATAATGATGTTAATGTCATTGTCCTAACAATTTTATAGTATAATGGTTACCATGATGTCAATTCAATGTCATTGTCATAACAATTTTGTAAAATAATGATTAGAATGATGTCAATGTCATCAACAAACACAATATAACTTCTTGACAATGACACACACAATGTTAATATCATAATGTCTCATGACAATGTTATTAATAAAAATAATGTTACCTCTTAATAATTTCAAATATTATTACACAATATAACGAAAATAATGTCACTTCTTAACCCCCAATATCATAATATTGACACCGGAAAAATGATACAATGTCACAATTATATTATATAATTTGGCAATGTCACGGTATTAATTCGTTGTAGAATTAAATTGCTAGGTTTATAAAACAATTATCACAATGCTGGAGATATTTTCAAATTTTGTTTAATTAATATTTCCTTGTAGTACGTATAGTAGATCATGTTGTCAATGTGAGGATCTACCACTATAATTCAATGTTCCACTTTTTACTTAGAAATTATTATGGCTAACATTCTCATAAGTTAATTATAATATTTCATGCTTCTAAGGAAATTAAGTATAAACAAATCTAGAATCTTTTACTATATTAGTACTATCGTAGTAAAAGAAAATAGAAAAAGTGAACAAAAAGAGAAAGGAAAAAACAAAGATTGGAAATTCGAAACAACAAAAAACAAAAGGGAAACTAAAAAACGAAGAAGGGAAATCAAAAAAGAAGAAAACAAATGAATCTGGACATCTACAATTCACGCGAAGGAAAATCAAAACAGATGAAGAAAGCAAATAGATCTGGGCATCTACAACTTCACCGAACGACGACCAACGGCATATATTCCGGTGATGATTAGCGGCAGACCGGCGGTTAACACCGAACATTAGAGTGTCCAACTGAAGGTTGACGGAGAGGATGGCCTCGGCCAAGGAACTATGAATCTCTACAGAGACGGTGGAGGACATGAGGCAGAGACGATGGAGGTGGCGTCGCTGTAGATGGGGAAGGTTTCCTTGGTTTCAGGTTATCCATTTGGTTCCCCTCTGTACAAATAATGGAAGCTTCATCTGATTTCATCGGTGAGAGTAGCGGGCAGAAAAGGCGCTTGAGAGGCAAGGATATTTTCGTCCGGTCGATTGAAAAGCAGTCACATTTAGAGATTAAAAAGATGCAGGTCTTATTTACGTACACGCCTCATGTTTTGCTCCTATCGAAGTCTTTTTCCCTATTTTGAATGTCAAATGATTTTTTGTACTTCATGGGTCTGGATTGAGATTCAGCTACTTGCAATATTACGTAACACGTAGTATACAAAAATACAAGTTCGGGAATGTAGTAAAACTAGTATTCTACCCGTGCGATGCACGGGAAAATAAAATTTGGAAATTAATGAAAAATTTGTTAAGATAAACTTTTGTCATATAAACACAAATATTTTTGCCATATAATTTGTGGATGAATTTGTTTTTAGTTTACAAAAATATACTCGGTGTGTGTAATTGGTATCTCCAATTTTATAACACCTTATACAAAATTGCCACAAACTGCATGGTTGATCATCACTATTATTTAAACATTATATTTTTTAGAAATTTGATTGTGACATATAACTATTCATTTATATTTTAGGAAAGAATTAACACTTTTAAATCATCATTTATCATCAAAGATTAAGAATAACACATCTATAATATCACATTAATTTATCATTAACGACATCAATATATTATATTCTAGGAAAAATCTCACTTTTAATCCGTCAAAGTAATCCTCGTGTAATTTTCAAGTGTGTAAATATACCCCTCGATTGTCTGAATTAGTGTAATTCAGACAATTTATGGTTCGGCGACTACCCAATGTGAAATCTAATCCCAAAAATGGTTTTTCTGATAGCATAAAACCATCATTCTAGATACTTAGGTTTGCAGATGAAAACTGACTATTGAGGGATTGCGTATTAATGTTATAGAATGTCACCATTGACAATTGACAATTGTTGGTTACTTTTTCCATGGACGTCCCAGCCTCGATGTGCTAAGGAAAAACTTTGAACAGTATGGTTTCAAAGGTTTGTTTCATTTGGGAGTTCTGGGACGTAAACATGTCTTGATACGTTTTGATCGGGAAGAAAATTATCTTCGCTGCTGGAAGAGATAGATTTGGAATATTCATGGTAAGGATATGAGGGTGACTAAATGGTTGTATTACTTTCATTAACTATCACTCAGTAGCTTTTCTCTCAATTGTTCATCTAGGACCTCCTTGTAAATTAGTTGGCATATTGTGGGGGTTGATGTTATTAGAGTTGTTCAGGAATTCTTTATGGGCTTACATATTCCTAGGGGCATTGCTAGCAGTTTGGTGGTACTGATCCCTAAAATTGACAATCCTACTATTTTTACAGACTTCAGGCCAATCTGTCTTTCTAACTTTGTTAGCAAAGTTTGTACTAAGGTTCTTGCTACTAGACTTATTAAAGTTTTGCCTAAAATTATTTCAGTTGAGCAGGCTGGTTCATGCAAAACAGAGATATTTCTGAGCAAATTCTTATTGCTCAGGAAATGATCCACTATATTGACAAGAAGGTTAGGGGTTCTAATGTGATGATTAAGCTTGATATGGCTAAAGCTTTTGACAGATTATCTTGGGAGTTTCTTGGACAGATTCTTGATAAGTTTGGTTTCAGTGAAAATTTTGTGCAGCTTGTTATTAATAATCTAAAGGCCACCTACTTGTCTATCCTGATCAATGGGTTGCCATATGGATTCTTTCAACCTAAGAGAGGGGTCAAACAAGAGGACTCATTATCCCCTTTTCTTTTTATTATTGCTTCTAAGGCCTTTTCTAGGGGACTTAATTGGAATATGGCCCAAGGTAATATAAAACCCTATTGGCTTGGTCAGGTAAGTCATCCAGTATTTTTTTTTTTTTTTGGGAAAAGGAAATTTTATTAATAAAGAAAATTAGAAAGTACAAAAGACAAAAAACTGGAAAAAAAAAAAGAAAAAGAAAAAAATGAAAGCAATAAAGCTAAACTTAATAGTAATACCCAACCCAAAGAATAGCAAAAAGCCCTCCCAATCTAAAACTTAACCCTCAGACAAATCTTCAAAGCTCAGCTCGTGATTGAGATCTAGTTCTCATAAGATGTGATCGTTGATTCCTCTTCTTGTACCAGTATCACATCTTGGATTTGATGATGACCTTTTCATTTTTCTAAATGGGGAATCTAAATCTTTGCAGAATTTTAAAGACTTTCTATATTCCTACCAAGCACCTTCAGGTCAATCTGTTAATCTGGGCAAAAGCTCTTTTATTTGTGGAAAATTTGCTAGAGCCAGGCTGAAAAACATACATAACATTCTGGGCATGCAGAAAGTGAATCTCCCCCTCAAACACCTTGGGGTTAATCTTCACAAAGGAATTAACAGATTTTCCTATTGCTCAAATCTAATCAATCAATTCGAGAAGAAACTATCTCCATGGAAACAAAGACATCTCAATCAGGGTGGAAGGCTTATCTTGATTAAACATGTTCTGAGTTCCATCCCTCTTCATATTCTTGCAGCTGATACCCTGCCCAGAAAAGTCATCAATACTCTAGAGAAAAAAATGGCAGCTTTCCTTTGGGGCTCTTATAATGATAAACATAAGTATCATTGGGTTAAATGGTCTGAGCTATGCACTCCCACTGAGGAAGGAGGTTTAGGTCTCAGATCTCTAATTGATCTAGAAAGAGCTTTCTCAATCAAACTATGATGGAAATGGAAGTCTGGTAATTCATTTTGGTCTGACTTTCTTCATTGTGAACAACACGGCTGATGCTTTGGGTGTGGTGTCGAGAAAGAAAACAAAAGACGTCTATCCTCCTTTATCGGTCACTACAAGGCTAGTGGCCAAAAGGAACACACTGGAACCTTCTCCATGTGTTTCCTCATGAAGCTACTCACGTGGAATTTGTGTGGCCTAGCCTCGTCGTGTCCGATGCTACGTCAAATTGTTAGGCACCATCTCATTGACTTTGTGACTATTATTGAGCCAATTGTTGGTTCGGATAAGGGGATCACTTTTTACATTGCTTGGGCTTCTCTAATATTTTTGTTTCAGCTTCTAATAAGATCTGGCTTATGTGGAATGCTAAGGTATTTAAGGTTGATTCTATTATTGATGAAGGCCAATTTTTACTAGTTAAAGTAAAGTTTATACCACTGGATTTCCATTTGTTTTTTTTTGTTTTTTTTTTTTTTGCAAAAATGACATTTTATTGATATAAAATAAAAGTACAATGCGAAAAAGAAAGAAAAAATACATGAAAGAAAAGAGAAAAATGCAAAATTAAAGGAAAAACAACACAAAAGGGGAAAAGAGCTAATCCCATGGGAAATCTCTGGATTGGGACCTAGTTGTCATGCTATGATGCCTTTTGTTCTTTTGAGATTTCCTGTAGATTTTTAGCTGTGTGTTCAAGTTCTCGGTCGGCAGACAATTTTCTGCGGTTACGAAATTAGCCTTGTGGCAAATCGCGGTATTGAATTTGGATTTTCTAATTTCTTCCGGGAATGAAATGGGAGGACGACGATCACTCTCGGTTGCATGTCCCAAGAAGTCATCTGTAAAGAGTGAGTCATCTAAGTGATCAAAATCATCTGAGGCGTCTGAGTAAGCCTGGATCAATGAGAACTTTGGTTGTTTCCCGAAAGAGAAGATGTGGTTATCCTTAGTATTTGCCGCCTGAATTTGAGAATTAAAAATCAGTTTAGATATGGATGTGGGGTCCTCGATTTTAATGTACTCCCATGTTGGAGAGATATTGAGTCGTCCTGCACCGACTTTGAGAGCCCTACAAAATTAGAAAAAATATTAAGGCATTTAGATTTGCCCGAGTTATGGGTTCTCATGGGTATCTGAATGAAGCTAAGCTCCCTTTGTATTTCGCCATTTTTACATAGTAGCCCGCTCTGTAAATTTCTACAGAAATCGTGATATCTCCAAATCGCTGTTTTCTCTTAAAATTTTCCTGAGCAGTATCTGTGAGCTGAGATATGAACCGAATTACTTGAGGGACAAGATCTAATCTGAGATGAATTTTGTGCAGAATAGATCTTTTAATTTGGAAGAGGACCAAGTCTCTGTTGTTCATTGCAAACTTAAAAGAGGTATTTTCAATTTTGATCGTGTCAAACCCATATTCTCCATAAAAGGAGTACTTTTCACCATGATTGAGGGGAAGATCTGTAGCTTCCTGGTTTTCTTCTGTCGTGGCCTTTTCCTCGATGCATAAATGTTTTTCTATTTGAGATGTACGTGCCTGACCTAAAGGATGACTTTTTGTAATCGCAGTATCGTTCCCTCTTGTAATCACCATGATTTCCATTTGTTTTCTCACCAGTATATGGGCTACATACGAGGGTAGAGAGAGCTAATCTTTGTGAGGGCTAGAATCAGTTTAGCGAGGCAAATGATTTGCCTTAGGTTTTAGGGGGTGATTTCAATATTGTTTCCTCCATCTATGAGTATAAAGGGCCTGCGCACCCTTCTATTCCAGATATGCAGGACTTCAGAGAATGTATAGATGGCTGTGAATTGGAGCAAATTAAAACTATTAGGGTTTAGGATTTAAGGTTTAGGGTTTATCGTTTAGGGTTTAGGATTTAGGGTTTAGGGTTGGGGGTTGGGGGTTGGGGGTTGGGGGTTGGGGGTTGGGGGTTGGGGTTTGGGGTTTGGGGTTTAGGGTTTCGAGTCAGGGTTTCGAGTCATTGGAGCAATCGAAGCAGGATCGGAAAGGGTGGAGTTCGAGTCCGATGCTCAAATAGTGGTTAATGGAGTTCATAAGGAGAGTGGTTGCTCTTATATGCATTTTATTTGTGATGATATTAGGAAGTTATTGAATACTAAGAGTAATTTTGTTGTCTTTTACTGTAAACGGTCTGCGAATCATGTTGCTCATGCATTAGCTAGAGAACATGTTAGAATCCCAGATTAAGTTAGTACTTATATGTCTGCTCCTTCATGTATTCAAAACCAACTGGCTAATGACCTTTTGAGTTAATAAAATTTGTTGGAGTTGATGATAAAAAAAATGTTACATTTTAATGCACTGGCATTTAAATTTTAAAGTTGAGTCATTTTTTACTTTTTGTACATTTTTTTAACCCGGAAGGCAAACCACCAATCAGTGGGGCAAATGCCGGGATTGACTTTTTCTACACTATATTAGAGACAGAAGACAAATTGTATACTTCTTAAACTTAATGTATATCCTAATTTTTACTTTTACTTTTGTATGGAGTAATTGTTTTCTTTAAACACGCACAGCTGATGTATAATTGTGCTACTATTAACCCAATTTAATACTTCGTACTTATTTTGAGAGGTCATTAGGAGCGGCGAAAGGGAAACCCTAGCAGCCTCCTCTTCTTTTCCTCTCTTCTTTTAATTTTCCTTGATCCCAATCATGAAGAGTTTTGTTAGATCAGTATTTTCAGTGCTATGTATACGTCTATTTTCTAAGGTTGTCTTTTCCTCTCGTCTTTTCCTCTCTTCTTTTAATTTTTCTTGATCCCAATTTAAATTCATTTTTTTAAAAATTAAAAATTACAGTCACATATTTTGTTCGTGACTAAATGAAAATATAAAAATTTCAGATCTCCACGCCCATTTTTTCCAGATACACATTCAAATTCTTTTAAAACTTTAGTCACGAATTTCGTCCGTGACTAAATGAGAATTTGAAATTTTCGGAAATTCCCGCCCGTTTTTATCCGGATACAAATTCATTTTTTTAAAACTTTAGTCACGGACACGTCCGTGACTAAAGCGACGTAAAATTAAAAAGAAAATTAAAATTTGTCATGGAGGGATCCGTGACAAACGTGCCGGAGTGGAAATTCCGGTGACAAGTTTGTCACGGATACGGGCCGTGACAAATCAGTGACTAACATATGTCAAGGATGTGTGTCCGTGACAAACATTAGTCACGCCCGTATAGTCACAGATTATGTTTGTGACTACGTCCGTGACTAATTCGTTTAGTCACGGATTTTGACACTATGGTCTGTGACTACGTCCGTGACTATGTCCCTATTTTTTGTAGTGTTACTAGTGTTTAAAATTGATTAGGATTAACTCTTATTAAGGGATAAGTTCATATTTCATTCTTAATCTTACTAAGGACATTTAGTTTTTGGCTATATGATTTGGGGTTAGAAAATTCCACTATCCCAGCCCTAATAGAATAAAAAGTATTTCATATTTACCAAACGTGAATCAGATACTTGCAGAAGCCCTACACATTTTTACATAGTAATCTCTCATCGCAATTGTCAAGATTCAAACCCAAACACTTACCCCATGTGACACTCTTTTTCTATCAGTTGAGCTACGTCCACCGGAAAAAATATAGATGATTATTTTAGATATTTTTCATATTACTTTATCTTAATTTTACTCATAAAGAAGTACTACGTATGTTCTAAAAATAATTCTTCCATAATTTAGCAAATTTACATAACTTATCAACCAATTTCAATCAAAATTTCTATCAACTCCAACATATTCAACCAGTTGAGTGTTAGTAAAGATGTTTTTACTTGAACTGTAATTTGCCGATTTGGTCTGATCTGATCTGGACTGGTCTGATCCAGGGGACGTACGTTTGGTTTAATTGGGGCACATGCCCCCAACAAAACCTGATTTTACTTTAGTTTTAATTCAAAGTAAAAGTTCAATTTTAAAAATATAAATGCCCCCATTAACTTTTATCTCTACAAAGAAAAATGGGAATGCTTAGTTTACATTCTCTATACAAATAAATACCGAGAATATTTTTTTTCTAAGTTACAAATTTTATAGACAGAAATGATTAGTATGATAAGTTATATATTTATTTACTTATTTCTTAAGTAGTAGTTAGTTAATTTAATTTTAGATATGTAAACAGTGGACTAGGTTCTTCATTTAACAAGGAACAATTCCCATTTAATTTGAGTTTCTTTTCCAAATGCAATTTTGTTTCAAGTTATAAACACTAATTTCACTCTCCTAATAAGTTTACTTTATGTTTGATAATGTGGTTATTAGGAAAATTAAAATTATGTGGATATTTTTGAATTGATAAAGTAAAATTAACTATGAATTATCTAAAATTATATGAATATTCTCACATTTGTTATGAGACAATTTTAATAAAACATTTTAAAGGAAAAATGAGACATTTTAGTATGAAGGTGGGAGTAATGTACTACGTAAAAAAATTGTGAATATAAAATTTCAAAATTGTAACATTTTTATCAATTAAGGTTTGTTTCAAACGAATACAATCAGAGTGTACAAAACCATTAAGAAAAGTGCTCTAGTTTTAATTGATCTATTTAATTTTAGTACACATTAAGCATTAATGTTTGTTACGGGGGTACTATTACAAGTTTTGATGTATATAAAGCGATGCCCCTAATAGCAAATTTTTCTGGATCCGTCTCTAATTTGATTTCTTTGTATTTTTATAATTCTCAAAGTCTGATATGATTTGATCTGATTTCGTCTGGGACATATGACAATCCAAATAAATGACAATCAATGATTTCTTGCGTGTTTTTTAAATCAATCAATTCAGCCAAGACTTGATTGATAAGCGTTACGTACGTACTAACTACTACTCCTTCCGTCCCATTTTACATGTCCTACTTTCCTTTTTGGGTTGTCCTGAAATAAGTGTCTTCTTTCCCTTTTTAGAAATAAATATGTGGTCTACACCATTTCACTTTATTATACTCAAACCTCAACCACAATTTTTACTTCTTCAATCATTTCATTAATAATTGTGTCAAGTCAAAGTAGGACACATAAAATGAGACAGAAGTAGTATA